TTTTTTTTTAAGGTAAAGCTCCTTTTCTAAGTAACCGTTTTGTTGAGATATCATTCGTATACCATACAGTTCACTCATGTAAGGGGTGCAGTTCGTTTTTAGTCTATTCCCAGTTGTGCAGCCATCACCACAATCAATCGTAGCACATTTTTATCACCTTATAAAGAAACTGGACCTATTAGCAGTCATTCCCCATCTGCCTCCAAGCCTTCTAGCCCTAGGCAACCGTCAGTCTACTTTCTGTGTCTGTATTTTCCTATTCTGGACATTTCATAGAAATGGAATCCTATAATACGTGGGTCCTTTGTGTAAGGCTCCCTTTTATTTTCCTTTCATTTTAATAAGGTCAGCTCAGCCTGGATTATAGAACCCAGGAGTTGTAGCCTCTAAATCTGTTCTATCTTTTGGTGACCTCAGCACCGAAAACCTGAGCAAGTTCCTTTTCTTCTGTTTGTCTCTCCTGTAAAACGATTACACCTGCTAGCTCCCTGGGGGTGTGAGAGGAGTTAGCCGTGGTGCGCAGATGAAAGTGTAAGTTCCAAGAACGAGTATGTTTAGCAGAGACTTGTAGAATTTTCTAAAATTTATGCAGTTCACTTGGTTTGTATAGTATTCTTTACCCCAGGTGTCTGGGCCCTTTGAGAAATGTCAAAACAAACTAGGGTTTTTCTCGAGAATTACATCCAGATTTATGTGGTTATGTTTATTAAGACTAGCTTTAATTTTTAAAAAATACAAGTAAGTAGGGGCTCCTGGGTGGCTAAGTCAGTTAAGCGTTCGACTTCAGCTCAGGTCATGATCTCGCAGTTCGTGGGTTCGAGCCCCGCGTTGGGCTCGGCTGACGGCCCGGAGCCTGGAGCCTGCTTGGGATTCTGTGTCTCCCTCTCTGCCCCTCCTCCGCTCACGCTCTGTCTCTATCTCTCAAAAATCAATACACGTTAAAAAAAAATACAAGTAAGTAAAAACTTGTTATGTCTTCTGGGATATTGTAGAAGCCAAAAATCTAAGGTCATTACCATTGACTGCACCCCTTTTCTGTTCTTGGTTGTGGGTTCACTCAGACTGCAGTCTCTATATTCAGTCAGCGTGAGAGAGCGCCGAGGAAGGGTCAGATGTCTGCAATTACCATTTACCGTATACCGTTCAGCAGCAAATGTCCCGCTGTGCCCTTCAAATGCTTGTGTGTCACTGGAAGTAAACTCTGAACCGATTTTCCCCAACAGACTTGCCCCGCATAGACTTCCGTAGTATAGCCGTGCCTGGCACGTCAGGCTCCCGGCAGCGCCGGCCACCAGGAGCACAGCAGTCCCACTCATCTCCCGGAGACATAGCTTCATCTCCTCAGGGCTTGGACAATCCAGCCTTGCTCCGAGACATGTTGCTGGCCAACCCCCATGAGCTGTCCTTGCTGAAGGAGCGCAATCCACCCCTGGCGGACGCTCTGCTCAGTGGAGACCTTGGTAAGCTTATCGACGTGGAAGACTGGCGAGTGGACCTGAGGGGAAGTAGTGGTGTCTCGGCAAATTTGGAGAAACTCCAGCAACGGGGGTGTTCAGCCCGCCAGGTCACGTGGTCTCTCGAGCACCCCAGTTGCTCTCTGAGAGGTAAAGTGATGCTGATGCCAAAGGCGGAGTTGAGTGGCGGTCGTGGTCCAATTTTGCAACAGCACAGAGTTCGGAAATCCAGCTTGACCAGCCTCCTCCACTGACGGTTTTTTGTTCCCCCAAATTATTTTCACGGTGCATAACCTAGGGACTGGTATTCTAACCTGTTCGGTGGGAGCCTCAGTTGAAGAGAGCACCAGTAAGCCAGCTGATGCCGGGTGAAATGCTCTTAGGGACAGAAAACCTGTCTGGTGCCATCAGCCCGTACGGCAAAACGGAGCCCTCTGACTCTCACCCACCCCGAGATTAACGATAGTCGGTTGTCGCCAATAGCTTGTTGCTGTGTTTGAGCCATTCTTGAGCTAAACAGAATGTTTGTTTTTAGTCAGCTCGATGAATAAAGTTTTTCTCTGTAAATTTCTCCAGTTTTACTCCTGGGTTTATGCAACTGTGCTGATTACATTTTAAAGCGTAACAGATGCTCAATAGCTCATTCTTCAGCTGACCCTTTTTTAAACTGAGGTAATAATTACCTAACAGAAATGCGCAGGTTTTAAGTATACAGTTCATTGAGTTTTGGCAAAGTCCTGGAGCCGCCACCCTAGTCAAGATGATAGAATATTTTTCTCGCTCCCGAATTCCAGTATGTCCTCTGCTGGTCAGTTTCCGCCCCTTATGGGCTACTGCCGTTCTGAAAATCGTGTT